GCCCTGATATATGTATATACTGTAAACTGAAACAGCTGGACTAGTGCTTCCTAAATTTAACATAAATTAATTATTTTATTACAACATACTCATTTGTGCATTTTTTCTTTGGGGGGAGGTCACCTCCTAATAAACGTCCTTACAGAAAATCTAACTTCTTATTTTAATTCAATAATTTTACTTTTGATACTTAAGTACAAAAAATATCAGATACTTTAAGACTATTACTCAAGTAATAGACTTAAAGGAGACTAACTTTTACCCAAGTAATTTTTTGGTAAGATACTTGTACTTTTACTCAAGTATCACTTTGTGGTACTTTATACAACACTGTTTTTTCAAGTACTTTATAGACCTCTAGTATCAGGAAAGATCATTAGTACTCAAAATGATGTAATACAGAACTATGGGAAGCATTAACTATAGATACAAACAGCTCATAACATTCAAAATGTAAGAATTTCTACTATTCTCAGAAAAAAAAGCTTTACTTCCTGGTAGATTTGTCCACTTTAAATAAAAGATTAATTCAGATCACAAATAGCTCACTTTATTTTGTCTTCTCCTCTCAGACCCAAACACCCAGATTTTGTACGCCTGTGACTCGTGTGGCGATAAATTCCTGGACGCCAGCTCCCTCGCTCAGCACGTGCGCATCCACACAGCTCAGGCCTTGGTCATGTTTCAGGCAGATTCGGACTTCTACCAGTACACCGCCACCGCTGAGGGGGACGCTGCCGCATCGTGGCAGCCCACATCCGAACAAGTTCTCCACGAAGGACAAGTCATCATCGGCGCTGAGGAAGAAGAGAGGAGACCAGAGGACGAGATCATCGGAGAGACCCAAGARCCACAAGGGACCGAAGAAATAATTCATGTAGTGGAGGAGATGGCTGAAGGGAATCATTCTGAGCACCAAACAGAGGGTGAAGAAGTAGAGGGAGAAAAGAAAGAAGATATGGAATGTGAGAGTCAGGGGTAGTGTGTCAGATTTAAGCAGCACACATGAAATGTCATTTTAATTTATGCAAAAAAAATTATATATATTAGGTGTCTTAACTAGGYATTGATTTAGTTGTACCATGGTGTTTAAAACAGTACAAACTGGAAAAGTAACATACACCTTTTCTAAGAAATAATCTCAGTTATCATGTATTTGCTTTACTATAAATAGAACAGCAATATTCAGTTATTTTTGTAAAAAAAAAATGCAGATGATTACACAAATGTTTATAGTTTGTTTATTTTTAGACTAAAATGTAAGACAATGTTTTGTCCTTTTTGTTAAACATTAAAATTAAGAGAAAAAACAATATCTTAATATACACAATGAAGAACAGCTACATTAAAATGTAGAGGTTAGACAAAAAAAATCCCATGCTTCTACTATATGTGTACATATGCCATAAAAATTACAAAAATATAAATCTGATTTAAAAAATGTAAATGTAGCACAAAATCTTTAACTATAAACTAATTCTGAAATATGTTTCTCTCTCTCTCTCTCTCTCTCTCTCTCTCTCTCTCTCTCTCTCTCTCTCT